TGCTTATATAGAAGTAAATATGAAACACCTAAATACATAAATTACTGCAAACCAATAAAGTTACATACTTGCAGGAACAAAAAAAAAAAAAAAAACACACTGGTCTGCCCTGTTTTTGTTCATTTGGGGGATAGGTGAAAAGCCCCTTTTTCAGTTCAAAGTTCAAACTAACTGAAAGAGATAGATGTTCTGACGCATTCAACCCAAAAAAAAAAAGAAACTTATTAATACCAGATTGATAATGATGATGAGTCATATCAGATTGATGACGACAAGGATGTGTTTATTTCTTTTACAGGGGTGGCAGGGTCCAGCTCCAAACCCTTAAGTTTTATGATAGAAGGATTGTGCAATATAGAAAATCATACGAAAACTCAAACATAATGCAAGGAAAAAAATAAGCACCTTTTTTTATTTTTATTGATAAGTGATCACATTTGAAATTATGCCCTATAGTATTAGATAGGACCTCAACATGAAAAGAGATAATGGAAACCATTATTGTGTTGAGGGTTTAAGCATGGTGAATCATCAAAGATCTTTCTTCTTTTTGTTTCAATTAGAAGAAGAGGTAGACTATCAATCTTAGAGTACTATATCTGAATATGATACCAAAATTCTAGAAGATCAAGGATCAGAAGTCAGAACCTCATTCACAATAAGATTTTTTTTTTTTTGATAAACACATCATTCATAATGAGATTCTTTCATAACCAAAATTGTCTTTCATACCTGCCAATTGGATATTGTGGCCTAGCCTACTAGAGGACTGTGGTTTGGTCCTTATAATCTCAGACATCAAATATGATGATATGAGATAATTCAAATTTCCCTACCTTTCCAATAGATTATCTAGCTATAAATAAAGTAGGAAGAATGAATGAGTCTGGGGATTCAATTCCACACTAGGCCTTTCTGTAATAGAAAGGGGCAAAGGGGTACTCGCCCCCCACCGTATTTGTATCTTTCTCTTTTTCTCATTTTAATTAAAATTCTCTTTGATATGGTTACTGATAAAAAAAATAGACTTCCAATACCTTCCCATCTGCTTAGTATCAGCTAGAATCTTCACTTTTTAATCAAATAATTCATGCCTATTTGCATGAGTTGAATAAAATTTACAATTCTCAACTTCTTTAATAGAGTTAAAGGAGTGTAATTGTCAAACATACTAACAAAAACACTGGTTAGGGCCTATTTGTTTGAATATATGGTAAAGGATGGCTTACAAAAACATGGATAATAAATCATCTCAGGAAGGTAAAAACCTGTTTCAAAAAAGGTGCTTATCATGTGATTGTTTTGGCATAAAATGACTAGAAAATATAAAAATTAACTAATGGGACAAAGGTCATTTCCCTTATTTCCAGCAGGCCACGTTCTACTATTTCATATGCAAACAAATTGTCAGCACGATCTCAAAAGCCATAAAACCATAAGGAAAGGAAAAAAAAAAGGAATGAGGGGGGGGGGGGGTAAGAACATATTCCATAGAAAAACAAGTGCATATAAATAGGATATTAATAAGATGAACAATGAGCTTAAACATAGGTTGAAGCAACAGCAGCATTTAATATTGTGAAAAAAACCTATAATATGTGTCTTTCATGAGCATTTCCGATTACATGTCAGCATCCAAAGTATGACAAACAGGATTCCAAAACTAAATAACTGGTACAAAATCGAATAATATGAGTAATACCTTCAATGACCACTAAAGATATCAAAAAAAAAAAAAAAAGAGAAGTAATTTTCACTATCGGAATTCATCCATATCATCTAAAGAACACTGTATTCAACAAAATTGCAAGAAACAAGCCAACAATTAAATCCAACAGAATGGTTAGTGGATATGTAACAAGCTTCATTCATAACGGAGTAAACTTGTTCTATTAAATCCTAACCGGCTAAGTACAAGGATTAATTAAACAAAGACCCAGTATATAAAAAGGAAAGGAACCAGTAAATTTTCGCCAAATAAGGAAGAATTATAGTACCCACTAATTCTAGTGTTTAGCTTCAATCACCATTTAAAAGGAAATCGACAAACAGGACGACTTTGGCCATCAGAATCCACTAATAGAATCAAGACCCTACGTTCGACGAGTTTAAACAAAATCACAACCATTTAAATTAAATTAAGCAGCGAAATTCAGCATAAAACAATTGCTAATTAGATTGGAGACTTGGAGTTTCCCGTAAACCTGAACCCAATATTTTAACAGAAAGGAAAACGAATCAAAACTGTAAGTCACATAATCAAATGCAAATAAATAGATAGAGAGAGAGAGAGAGTAGAGAGTACCTGTAAGAGACATCTGCTTGGGACATCCTCGAGGATCAAAGATCAAATTTTTTGTAGAAACTCGAACCTAACAAAAGATTAAGAATCCATTTGAGGGAGAAAGAACGAGTTCCCCTTACCGATTTATCGATCGGTGGAAGCATCGCAGAGGGAAGAAAAGTTAATAGAGAACAACAGACTCAGAGAGGGAGAGAGAGAACCCCGTTTTCTCAGCTTTGGATTTTGGACAGGCAGTTGAGACTTCGGAAGAGAATTGAAAAGCGCTCGGAGAGAAAACGATTCTTTGTGCTTTTATTGAAGGTCTCCGTCGAAACTTTCGCTGTGCGTTCCATAGCCTGGGCTGTCAACTGGGCTATCCTTTGATAAGCAGGCTGTCGAATTTGAACAGCCAAACTTCTCCTTCAACTCGTAACAAATCGCTTATTTTTCATTTTATCATTTATTACCTTTTTACTTTTTTTCACTCATCCTTTTTAATCCCACATTTTTCTCATTATCATTTTTTGGACTTATTGTTTTGAATGCCATTAATAAATTAAACTAAAAACAATTATATTTTTAATAAAAAATAAAAACTTGATATTATATATCATGATTGAGATTGCTCGAGAATAACTTTTATTAATGAATTTAGCTTATTGGCTTTCTCAACAATAGGAGTGCTAACAAAACACCAAAAACCAAATTCAGTTCCATTGGGAATTTAAAAAAAATTGAAGGACTAGCTCATTTTTCGATTAATCTAAAAAAAATGGGCGATTTAATTAAGGGAAAATTTTCGATTAGTATCCTATACTTTGGGCCTAGTGCCATTTTGGTCCATAGACTTTAAAATGCAACAATTTAATACTCGAACTTTCAAAACGTTATTTGTCGTTAATCAGATGTTAACCTATGATTAAGTGACATTTGAAAAAGACACAAATGCCCTTCAAGTGTCATTTAATTTCTTTATCAACCATCTAAACATTGACAAAAAATTAATAGTCTCAAATTCTTGCCTCTTCCATTTAAGGAAGTTGGGGTCACGTTTGAATAGAAGAGGCAATAATTTGAGATTGTTAATTTTTTGTCAATGTTTGAATAGTTGATAAAGAAAATTAGGTGACACTCAAAGGACATTTGTGTCTTTTTCAAATGTCACTTAACGATTGATTAATAACTACTTAACAGCAGGTACTAGATTGTCATGTTTTGAAAGTTCAAATACTGAATCGTCTCATTTTAAAGTTTGGGGACCAAAATGGCATTAGGCCCAAAGTACAAAGTACTAATTGGGAATTTTCCCTTAACCAATTGATTGAGTTCGAAACTGACCAATCAATTAACCAATTGATTCAGTTTGATTTTAGTTGGGAGATTTTCAAAAACTAATAATACCAATTCGGTTTCAAAAAATACCCCACACTTTTGAATTATGATAACCAAACCATAATCACCCCTACTCAACAACAACTTATTAGATTTAGAACATCTTTATTACTTAAAAATAAATAAAAAAAATGTAAGTATACAAATGAAATGAACTGCAAAGATACAAGTTAATATCATATAATAAAAAATAAGAAACATCACATACATAGACATAATCCCCGTAGACCTGGCAATTGGGTTGGGTGGGTCGGGTTCGGGTTGGGTCAAAGTACTACGGGTTGATTTCAGGTCGGATTGTCAAAATGCTAGACCCTAACCCTAAACATTCGGGTTAGGGTTGACCCATGGGTCAATTCGGGTCATCCCAAAAATAATTGAAATTTAAAAAAATAAAAAAAATTAAATGAAAAATGTCAAAATTAAAAGAATTAATCTTAAAATTTCAAATATAAAATAAAAAATTTGAACATTTAACAATTTAAAGAGTAAACAATAAAAAGTAAAGACTAAATAAAAAAAATAAAAAGTGAAAACTTCTAATAATGCATAAATAATCCCAATTAGACTTGATAATCGGGTTAGTGAGTTGACCCATGACCCAACCCAACCCAACCCGGTTTTTTCGGTTCAGGTCGGGTCGAGTCATTTTCACATTCGAATAGCAAATATGAGACTCTAACCCTATTTTTTTGGGTTGGGTTGGGTCAACTTATTGCCAGGTCTATTCCCCCGGAATTATGTCCGTATTACCTGAACCATAAAAAGTTTCAAACGCTCTCCAAACTTTCACATTTGTGGTGAGATGAAAAGACGATATTACCCTTATTGATTTGGTACGTGTGATGGAGTTTTGTTCTCAAACCCTAAGAAAGAACCAAAACCTGCAAATGGACGATGCAGAATCGATCTCTGTGTATGTGCACGAGGAACAAGAAGCTATTGTGGATAGAGACCAATTGAGAGTATAAATATAAAAGTTTGGAATGATAGAAGGCATTCCTCGTCTAATGTTGACAAAATACAAAAATAAAAAAAAGGTATGTATCGATCTTATCATATGCATCTATATCCACTTGTTGGTAACTTGTTATCGGATGTATATTGATATTTTGATCTTCGGTTATGTTGATAAATTGATCAATTATATCTTTCCGAGTAAGGTTTTAAAATCGAACTGGACAATGAATCATTTAGAATCCAGTTCCTGAGTTGAATGGTCTAATTGTTTTAATTGAATGGATGGCCTGTTTTGATAATAATTTTAAAAAATTAAAATGGCTAAAATCGTTAGATGATTCGAATGGTTTAAATGTCCAGATTAGTGATTTATTGATCAAGTCAACAGTTTTTGGCAAAATAACGGTTCTGGGGTAAAACAAAACTGGTTACCTGACTAATTCCTGGTTTTTCCAGTCCGACCATTCGGTATCGTTAGTGTCCAGCACGAGATACATAATGCATTGTATTGGCCAATACATATTTATACAGACTAATACACTACCCGCGAAACGCGAATGCGCATGCGCATGCGCATACTCATGAAATAAAAAGGAAATTTGCAAGATTCAAACCCACATCCAAAGCTAATGGAGAACTTAATGTCCACGCCTGCAAGCTACCACACCACTCCATCTTTTGTGTCTATGAGTAAATGATTACAAACCTTATTTCTTTATTACTTAAATGCAGTTCAAATAAATAATACATATTATGGTTCTCCAACTAAAACTTAAAAAAGTAATGCTTAAAATCAGAATTTTATAAAGTAATAGAAATAAATAATACATCAAATCCACATTTATATCAAAATATTATTTGAATCTCAAAAAAAATTATAGAAATATAATATTAATAAGAGAATAATTATTTTAGTACTTAAATTTTATAAATTTGCACATGATATATATATATATATATACACATATATATATATATATTAATTTACATTACATAAAATCATATTTATTATTTAGAAAATAAAAACATTGTTTACAAAATATTCAAGAATATAATCTTAAATTGAATCTATAAATCTACTAATCTACATTTGTACCAAAAAAAATTTAATTAGAAAATTATAGGAATAAAAATATAATAATGAAATAATCATTTTAAAAGTTAAAAATTATGAATTTGTGTATGATATGTATCTTAGAAACTTTAATAGATTTGATATATTTTAAGTTGAGATTATACATTATATAAATTATTAATGGATATTTTAATTTACATAGATACTTTAATATTTAGTTGACCTCTTTGTTAATGTAAAAAAAGTAAAATAGAAAATAATTGATATAATAATTAAAATATAATAGAAAAATAATTTTTGCATTTTGGACTCTTGATTGATACATTATCAATAAAATTGTATGATATTTATGCATCATATTATATTAATTGCAATATAATATTTTTCATATGTACCATTAAAATATATATTTTCTATGTATTTATACATTATTTATAATTATTTGACCTTAAATTTAATATTATTAATGTATTATGAAATTTTTATGTGTTCCCCTAGTGTATCCATGTTTTTCGTCTGCATTCATGCGTTTCCAAAGTGTATCCGTATCCATATCTATATCCAAGTTGTTCGATACGATACTCAATAACGATACTTTAATCTTTGAGCATGATACCATTTAGGGGTGAGTATGGGTATGTTTGGTTTGGTTTGGTTCCAAGGCATAACCTAGACTTTACCATGTAGACAAGGTTCAAAAGATCAATACGGATGCGCCTTGTATTAGGCGTATCGTATCGTATCTTTTGGGTCTCGAAACACCTGTTTCGTATTGTATCATATCACATCGTATCGTATCGTATCATATCATACCCTTTTTAATAAAAGGGTATGATATCGTAACCATGTACATAAGGGTATGATATCATATCGTATCATACCCTTTTTTAATAAAAAAAACCCATTTTTAACTCCCCAAAAACCAAAATTTGAAAAAAAACTAAAAAATTTCTAAGTACTGATACACCTTTATTGATACGCAGAGACATATCGATATTTTGAACCATGCCTGTAGAGGTTGATTTCAAGTTTTTGGAATCAAAACCTACCCTTTCCAATGTCAGTTTTGGCCTTAGCAGTTCTAAGGTTTATCCATGAAATCTATTGTTTAATAATAATAATAATAATAATAATAATAATAATAATAATAATAATAATAATAATAATATGCTATTTTTTAATTTATATTTTTCCCTTTCAAATCTTTGACTTTGGATAACTATCTAATATCTACCATAAATATTCCAATTTAAAATCCATATAATCAATCTCAAAAAATATAAAAAAAAAACATTATCCATAAAGAACATAAATATCAAAATTTTCAAGAGGTACTCTATACTTTAGGTCGAGTGCCAATTTATACCCAGTAAGTCGTTAAATGCATGTAAAAAGACAAAAATACTCTTCAAATGTAAACTACCAACCTTACAACTCTTGTGTAAACTCCTCCTTACTGGAAATGAATCATAATATTGAATGTTGACCGGAGTTCGATGCTGCAACTTGGGATTTTATCGTAATAAGGGGCAAAGAGAGCCCGGTATTAAGTCTCAGCCACCTGAAGTGGGAGAGAAAGAGAGATGTAGAAGAAACGACGGAGAAATCACCACGGGTTCAGATCTGTCACCGGAAGTTGCAGCAGCGGATAGAAGTTAGGAATACAGAACTGGTTCAGATCTGCCGCCGCTCTGCTTCTCTGTGAAGAAGATGAACAGTGTTTGAAAATGATGTCGTGAGCCTCAGTGCAGAACCGAAGCAATTGCCAACGCTGCGACATGCCTCAGTGCAGCCATGGCGGCACAGCTTGTTTGCACCCGATGACGTCGTGAGCCAAAGACTCATGGTCCAAAGCAGCAATAGCAGCAGTAG